AACGGGTCAAAAGATAGATGTCTTCTACCCACTCTGTCGGTTGTTTTCATAGCTCCTTCCTTTCTTTTGCAAGAACGTCTGTCAGGTGTAACTGTAGTTGGCAAGGATCATTTGTAACGATCAGGATAAATAGTAGCTGTCTCGAAAAAATGTTCATCACTTGAAGCATGGCTCGAAGAAACACTTTCATTTTCTATACAATGCTTTAATAATGTAATTTTCTACGACATTTCGTATTTTTCTTCCGCATGAGTGGCAAATTCGTTGTGAAACTGAAGACGAATCTACGAAAAGTAGTCCAATGTGTTCGCAAGCGTTTACCAAGATTAAACCTTTGCACTCTTTTCTGTTCGATGCCTTAAACAAATTTTCAGTTGATATGGATGCACCATACTTTATCTTAAGATTAGTTTTACATACTCGACAAGAATCGTTTACAGATATTGATGCTCGAGGTTTTGGCCCAAATTTAGGACTGTTTACAATTTTTTTTGGAGTTTCTGAAGTCATTATCATACTACTTTAAAAAAGTATTTTTTGTATATTTTTAACAATGACTGCATAAAATGTCAATTGTTGCATATTTAATGCATTGTTAATTGAGTGGGCGGTGCTAATATGCAAAAAGTAAGTGGGCAGTATCGATTTTACCCTGGCTTTCGGGCAGGCTCTCCTTCAATAGAGCTGGCCACGCTGGCTAAATTAGTCCCACCGATGCAATGGTTGTAACCAAGAGGAAGTTCATGCTAACCTTAAACGTTGTTCTACCTGCAAACTGGTGTATTATTGCTCAAAATCATGTCAAAAAAGACATTGGAGTGAGCACCAAATACTTTGCAATGCCATTAAGGAACAACTAAATCAAAACAATGAAACTCTCAGAGGACTGGGAGATAGTTCAGACACAGAAATGTTTGCAAGTCACCTTTCTCCAAAGAAACACGCTGCAATTGCTAAACTTGTTGGTCGCAAATGCTCTGTTCGGTGTCTTGTAAATGATGTTGACATGGAAGCGTTATGGGACACTGGAGCCCAGGTCTACATTTTCCAGGTTCTGGTCTGAATTTAACTGCGGCAAATGGGACACCAATCCCTTATAAAGGCTGGGTGGAAGCTAGATTTAGATTAAACCGAGAAGATGAAAAAGAAGTAACAGTACCATTCTTAGTAACACCCGAACAGTTGGAACAACCAATAATTGGTTACAATGTTATTGAACTGTTTTTACAAGAAGGTGAAAACTACTCAGATAATTTATCAGTGGCACACCATATAGTGTCAAGTTTTAATAATGTTGGAGTGAAAGATGCTGAGCAATTGATAAACATTATCCAAAGAAATGATGGGGAGTTGTTTTGCCAAGTAAAAACATATTAAACGTTCACATTTATATTAAAAAAAAACACATTTGATTCACTTAGGATTTCACTGTACTTGATACAAATTAGCTAAAGTAAGGTAACTTACATATTTAGGATCTATAGTGTCTTGAAGAGAGAGAGATTACGTTTCGGTTAGTGAGCTGGCCTGATCAACCACCTCGAGTGTCTGAATTGTTAAGGATACTTATAACTTGGAACAGTTGTGTTAAGAAGATACGGATCTAAAATGTCAGACGACATTCAAGAAGGAGGGGAGAGTGTAGCCGTGTGAGAAAACAATTAAGAAACAGCTTTAAAGACTGGGACTTAGTCAGCGGTTATGTTATAGAAACAGGCTCAGCGAGATAGTCTAGCGCTTCGTCAGCGGTTATGTTGTAGAAACAGGCTCAGCAATATAGTCTAGCGCTTTTTAAAAACGATAAGACAACGAACACATGTTTTGTAAAAGTTTTATTAAAAATACTCCTTTAAAAGTGAATAAAATGTAAAACAAAAAGAACTTGGAGTAACACTCGCCGGTAGAAACGTAAAGGAAGCGGCAAAAGCACAAACCATAGAGGCTGCCAACATTGCAAAAAGAAAAGCCATCAATAAACTAAGGAGTCAAACGGGGAGAGGAAAACGGAAGCTCTCAAGAAGTATAAAGCGAAAGCTAAAAAGGGAAAGACATCAACATCTACAGTCAGAGGAAGAAACGGAAAACAGTTAAAAAGAGAAAGGCATTGACATCTACATCCAGACGCAGACAGACAAAGAGACAGAAAACAGCTCAAGTCATATTTGGTTAAAAACCATGAATCTCGTACATTTCAAATCGCAGGAATGCACAACTAGGGATCCAAGGATAGTGTGAAGTTTCAAATTGAAAAAGACACTGCAAGAACTATATACGGTCGCCGACAACCTAGAAAAGCTGATGGCTTACACTACAAAATAAACAGTTACCAAAGGCATTTCATCTCATTATTTATTGCTTTTAATACGCTCGGCACACAAGTAGCGTGACGTTTGAATCAAGCCTAACACATCTGAAACGTGCTTTGTGAAACTGATGCAATTTATCTATTTATTGTGATGCTACACGTGACAATTCGAAATTTAAATTGTTTCACCAACAACCAAATTTTCCATATTCTAAATTTTCATTTGCATTTGCAGCTGTCGCTAAAAATATCCCCACGAGGCTACTGCTATGCTAAATTTATCTAAAATTATAATTGAAATAGCTGTATAAGATATGTTATGAATAATAAGCACTACATCGTTACATCATTAAAAGGATGCATTTAACCTCATCCGTTCCGTATTTTTCCGCATATTCGTTCCGTGGATCTGCTCCATCTGCTTCCGCATTTTAACCTAATTGTGACATGTTTCACAATAACAAGTCTCATTGACCTTTGACTTTTCCCAGTGTCACGTCTATTTTCAGCTTTTCGCATGTGTTGAATACATTAATGTCACTTTAGATTTCAATAGTTTCACAGTTAAGCAGTGTTTAAATTAAAGCAGGTTTGACAAGCTTTGATACAG